ATAGTCTAAGACTTGGTCAATAATAGGCAATTCAATCTATATCACTAACATATTATATAAAAAGACCTTAAGCGAGGCACCACTGTATATAAAAAGACAATTCTTCCAGATTAATTGAAATATCTTTGGTGAACACTGGAAGGAAACTCAAAAATAAAAAGGAAAATACTATTATGGAGAGGAAGGGAACATCTCTATACATCTTGTTCAGCTTTTCTAGCACGTCCAGTCATGTGCAATCCCCTGCTCTTGTTAGCTCATTTGCTGTCACTATTAATCAGCCATTTTGCTTTTCATGTTGAGGCAAACAAGACTGCTTTTAGACCTATGCTGATTAATTTTTAGTAAATGAACATTCCATTGATTTCCTTAATTTGATGCATCAATCATTTACATCCTCATTCAAGTAAGTGACCAGGGAGATACCCTCTGCTCACCTCAGAGCCAAGGCTGGGGATCTTTGAAACTAGCCTAATCAGTCTTGACAGACTTGAACCACCAACTTGTTCAGATGAAGTGCAAGATTGTAGGAGGAAGGAAGGCAAAGACCCCTCTCAACGTGCTTCAGAAAATGAACAAAATTGAATAAATTGAACAAATGAACAAAAGGCAGATGTAACTGGAAGATTATTGGTAGCTCTACATCAGTGTTTGCTATATATGCAGTCAGTGTGCCTTAATCAGATTCAAAGAGTACAAATACGTGTCAGGCTAAAATCACAAAATAGTCAGTTCAGAACAGGGTGAAGGGAACCTTCTATGTGTTGTAGATGGCAGCATCCTGACGGAATTGTTTGTATTTGAGTTTAACCTGTTGCATCGGGCCAAGGGAACAATAATTAGTGCTCTGCCATATTCAACATCACCCAACCAGATCCCTTTGGTTTTCACAGAGCAAAGAGTGATGCCTTGGGTCCTTTTTAAGGATACGTGTCAGGCTAAAATCACAAAATAGTTCAGAGAAGGGTGAAGGGAATCTTCTATGTGTTGTAGATGGCAGCATCCTGACGGAATTGTTTGTATTTGAGTTTAACCTGTTGCATCGGGCCAAGGGAACAATAATTAGTGCTCTGCCATATTCAACATCACCCAACCAGATCCCTTTGGTTTTCACAGAGCAAAGAGTGATGCCTTGGGTCCTTTTTAAGGAGAAAGTTAGGGTAAAAATATTTTAAACAAATAAATATATGGATAAATAATAAATTATTTATCAAAAATGATAAGGACCATTACAGGACCACTATTTTCGTGAGGATCATATTTATATTGGCCCTCTGCAAGCACTGTAGAATTGGCTGGATAGCTCCACGAGTTAGGCACTTGGTTGGGGAGCCAGAGGTTGGGAGTTGAGTTTTCCCACCCTGCATACCAAAACAGCCAGCCTGTGTAGCCTTGGGCAAGCTAGGCAGTCCAAGGGCACCACCAGAAAAAGGGCACGGTAAATAACTTGTGAGCACGTTACCTCAGAAACCTCGAAAAGGGTAGCCATAAGTCAGAACTGACTTGATGGCAGACAGTTATTATTACAGGTCTTAAGAGTACTTGGGAAGGAAGTGTCAAGCCCACAGCTGGGTTGGGATAATAAAAAGATCCTGCTGTTGGTCTGACCTGACATCTTTGTGCAGTGGTTGTATGCAAGACTTCTATGGTTTACAAAATATGGCAGCACATTCTTGACTCATTCTAACAGCATAATAGAAGGGACCCAGGTTTACTAGGGTGCCCTGGTTGTAGCTGAAGCAACCCTGGGCTAGCAGCAAGATATCCATGGGTCTGAAGGCAGCATGACAACTCTCACATGGTCCTTAGTAGAGCACATGGGATGTTGGGAAAAATATGGCAGCACATTCTTGACTCATTCTAAGAGCATAGTAGAAGGGACCCAGATTTACTAGGGTGCCCTGGTTGTAGCTGAAGCAACCCAGGGCTAGCAGCAAGATATCCATGGGTCTGAAGGCAGCATGACAATTCTCACATGGTCCCTAGTGGAGCACATGGGATGTTGGGAGACTGGCTGCTAAGTATGTTTATTCTTGCCAGCTTCCTATTGGCCAGCTGGGAGACCTTTTTCCCTGCTGGCTTCCCATGCTCTGATGGGATAATGTAAAGGCTGCCGGGAGGCAGACCAGACTGCAGCAGGCTTCAATATGATCCACATGCACAGCATAAAAGCGTACCTTAGGGGCAGCTCTGTATTCCCCCTCCCCTCCCCTTCCCCTTGTTATGGTGGTGGTATGGCTGCTCAATATTTATTACTGGGGTATTTGAGGTTGTTTCAGGTGTTTATGATGGCGGTACAATTATGGGTTAATGTTCACTGCTTGGGTATTTCGGGCTGATACCATGTTGCGTGTTTTGTTTTCTGTTGTCACAACTGAGTTGGCATTTTGGGCACCGGGGTTGAAACCAGGCAGTATGAGCTAAGTAGACGTCTGCATACCTGAATTATTAAAGGAATCCCTCTAGGGAGAGCTGGGGCAAGGCCAAGGTATGGCCTAGCTTGGGGGTACATTGCATGGCCTTGGCTTCAAAAGGCAGGGAGCCATGGAGTGAAATATGCCTGTGCAGCTGCTGAAGGGATGAGGAGGAGGCCCTGGGGGATATTCGGAGGCAGTATGAGCTAAGTAGACGTCTGCATACCTGAATTATTAAAGGAATCCCTCTAGGGAGAGCTGGGGCAAGGCCAAGGTATGGCCTAGCTTGGGGGTACATTGCATGGCCTTGGCTTCAAAAGGCAGGGAGCCATGGAGTGAAATATGCCTGTGCAGCTGCTGAAGGGATGAAGAGGAGGCCCTGGGGGATATTTGGGTCTCCTGATGCACTGGATCCAGTTCCCCACTGCTAAGGCAGGGACTGCTGCTCTAACCAATAAATGTTATGGCCCTTTCTTCCAAAGAGAAGTGTGTGTAGTATCTTTGTTAATGTCCTGTTCTGACATCCTGGGCCTGCTGAGTTCTAGGCCAACAATCATAGCAACCCTGTTTAAAGCTCACCCACTTTATGAAGATGCCAGTTTTTCCAGAAGGTGGCCCCCCAGAAAGCACAATTTGGCTAAGGGGTTCACACCAACGTGTTGATATAGCAGTCAGTATTACATAGGAACCTGCCTTATGATCTTCTCAATAGCAAGAGGAACTTGGTTTTGTGACTGAAGCTGCACTGGTAGAAAAACCTGGTGCACAGTTACTGCCATATTTGTTTTTTTACTGACACGACTGGGTACAAAGAGGGGCAGTTCAGATTGGTTAAACATCTAAGTGAGAAGCAAACACAGAGACCCCTAATACGTTTTTCTTTTAAGACTACACCAGCAACATGGTATTGGAAGCAGATCACTCAGTACCTCAGAACTGGTATCAGCTGTTACAGGGTATTTTTCTTTGTTTCACGGTCAATGATGTTAAACGTTTGGCATGCCTACAGCTCCTGAGCAGAGCACGCAGCAGCCTGTCTGTGTCTTGGCAAACCACCTCTTTGGGCATGGAACAGACTGAAGAAATTATGTGCATAACTTAGAAAATGAATGGAAGGAAAAGGACACAAAGGAGAGCTTTTTCAGCACTCTAAGTGCTTTAATAAAATATGGTGAGAAGTGATATAATTTTGGGGGGAATGAAATGCCTGGTGGGCCTAAAGCCAGCTGCATCGGAAACCAAAAATAGAAAATGAGGAGCACTGTCTGTTCTTTATCGTTTCAGGGTTAATACCTTGGTCTGGCCTTTGAAGACAAGTTTTGCTTTCCTCCAACAAAGTGATTTAAAACATTACAGTCTGAAAGAACAGAAATTGTTTATCCATGGAGAGACAATATCATTGAGGTGTGGGGAGAAATATCTTACGGCCCAAATTCAGATGAGCACATGCAAGACTTTGAAACAACACATCCATTCTCCCAATTTAATATTTGCTCAGGAGCAATGGGAACTTGAGTAGCATCTGGGAATATTACTTTCTTGGACTAGCATTCCTAGAATTTCAGACCACAGTACCATGGGCAGTGCCCATTCCTTGATGGGAGAGACCACTGAAGAACAGCCAGGCTCTCTGGGGAAGGTTAGGAAAGAATCCTGCTTGAAATTCAGGAGAGTTGCTGCCACTCATTATAACGACCGTGAGCTAATTGGACCACAAATCTGACTCAGCATAGGACAGCTGCCTATCTTGTCATGTTCCTACTAATTATGCACCAGTCAACCTGATTCTGTCATTCTTGCTGCCATCCTCTACTCTTTTTCAAGCTTCTTCACACCATATGTCTTTCCCTCCTCCCAACTTTCTCCAGGTTTAACTGCAAACATTGCCTGGAGAAAGTCATCTTCTGTCTTTGAAAGCCACATGGATTGTGTTTTGTTTTCAGATGCACTGGATATACAGTAATTAATATTGATTCAATTGAAGCCAGCTAGCAGAATGATGATAAATAGGCTAGTAATAACAGTTCGATCTGTGATGAATGGAGCAAGATGGAAAAACAATAGGAACTAGATTCTGAACTTTTGTTTTTCTACCAGCCATTAATTGCAGATTTTCTATGGAGAAAGCAGATTAGCAAAACGAAAAGGAGATTACACGTTGGAAGAAAACATGATTTACAAATTGATAGAGTGACAGCAATAAGAGATCGCATTAGAAAAGTTATTTTTCCTAAAACCACTTCCTGATTTTCTGTCAAAGCAATTTGGACTCTTGAAGATAGTCCCTCTAACGACTCCTTTACTTATTGTGATTTGAGCGCACACACCCACTAGTAAGAGTAAAATTGAACTAGACAATTTCCAGCTTAGATACTTCAGAACAGAACTGGATTTTTTAAAAAATGGTTGGAGAAAGCAAGAGGGTGTGTTTCAGTAGCTACCAATGTTAGACCATTTCCCCTTTTGTTAAATTATCTTCAGTTTGTGAGCAATTGCTCTAATTGACAACAACAACAAAAAGGGGGGGATAGGTCTGGCAGCACAGCTAATTCTATTATCTAGTATCAGGAGGACTCAACAACTCACCAGCAAAATAGCCCAGATGAGAAATCTCTTTAAAATGCTCAATGGCTCCTGGCGGTACATTAGGATAATCTTCCCGGCCTGAAAATTAAAAAATAATAATAATCATAAAATTTTAAATAAACCATCAGGCAAGTGGTTATTATTTTCATGTGATTTACCTTCACTGTATTTCTGGAGAGGCAAGCTAACTGGCTAAAGGGGTAGCAAAGGGCAAATTCAACACATCCTGTCCTTTGCCATAGACCAGAGCAGACAGGGAGGAAAACAGCCTTCAGTAGGAAGGTGAGGTGGGGGGGGCGCTCTCTTCTAAATTAGCAGAGGCTTCCATCTTCAGAACTTGGGTCTTTGGCAATAAGGTCACCTTTCAGCTGACTGTTGAGCCACAATTAACACATCATTAGAAGCTGTGTTCCCTTAAGAAGAAATGACTACATATTCTAAAACAAGCTTGCCTCAGTCTGCATTCCATAAATTAATCTGCTTTTGTTTTGGATTTGGCCACTGAGGCGTAAGCACAAGTTTGTTTTCTTGTCTGATTCCTTAGTCACATAACTCTGAAACATATGCATTTTTAGAGGAATAATGTTACAAAAAAAATTACACACATGCTTTAACATGTGATCTGACCCTCAGATGTCTGACAAGCAGGCAGATAAGAACATGGAACAATTCTACATGGATGCAGAATTGACAGAGGATGGAGAGAGATAACTAGTGCACAGACAAGGAGAAATTTTTTGCAGGTTGTAGCTGCTGCCACTGTTGAGCAGAAAGGCTGGAATCCTATTGCTTTGTACGGTGTGTTACAATTATAGTAGACCCATTAAATCCATAGGGGTTACAGAATAGTTGACCAACCAAATCCTCAGTGGGCCTACTAGTGCAATTTACTACCCTAAGTAACAGGATTTCAGCCACTGTTAAGGAGGTATTGCCTCCTGCCTCCTCCTTCTAAAGTGCTACAGTGTACGGCATTCTAAACCAGGAATACTCACAATCCACACAAAGTCTGCACTGACTGGCCTTCTACATGTGAAGCATGTGCTCAACCAATGAACTAGGATCTCTCTTAGGTCTGCATTCTGTTTCTAACAGCCAAACGGAGTCATCTGGAAGGTTGCGAAAATGGTCAGAAGGTAATGGATTTCCCCTATTAATTGTCCCTGGAATTAGAGAATGAGGTATTTCTTGTTCCTCCACATGGAGGTTCTATTGATTGATTTTGACTAATATATACAGATAGATCTGCTGACTGAAATCTAACAGCATAACATCATTAGCCTAGACATCATCAGTCTTATGCAGTGTAAATTACGCTGCCAGTTTTCAGCCACTGTGTGTAACAACACATCAAGGGAGCCCTTCATTGGCCAAATCTCTTGTTTTCAGTACATCAGCTTTTTGGTTTTTTGTTTTTGTTTTTTTAAAAAAAGGAAGCTAAAGTATTCAGCCTGCCAGCTTCTTCCCCAAGCCCTGCTTCCCTTCTTATTCCTTCCTCTATACCCCAGACCTAAAAATGGCTGACTGGAGATGAGAATTTTTTTTCCTGCTCTTCCTTTTCCACCACTTTATGAAACGTTTAGGTTTTTAAAAATCCTCCACCGATGCTAATGGAACAATTTTAGAACATAATATTAATTTGTAGGATGCATTATGGCTCTGTCATTGTTCCTTTGTTTAGTAACTCTCCGGTTCAAGCAAAGGGGAACATAAACTCTAAAATATCCCCTAACATAACCTCTTCCCAGGATCCAATTCCTCAACTAAGTACAGTCTTCAAAATTACACTGTCATTATCCACAATTATGAGAAATTTTGCCAGCCAAATTGGGACTTGACACAGGGCTTAGATGTGTAGTGAGAACTCTTACTTGTGGAGGGGAATATTTGCCTTTAAACCACACTCTGAGGTAGAATATGACTATGGACGGATGTTGTCCACAGAGCACTTTGGGCAATACGTTTATTCAGGAGGATAAGCAGAAAGCATTGCCAGTTATTCAGAAAACTTGCCATCTGGGACCATTAGCACGAACAGCATAATTTAAGACAGCACAGGCATCGGTATTCATCATTTTTGTACAAAACTGTTGTTCCTAGCAATTAATAGGGTGGGAGTTCTTATCCCCAGAAATACTGATGCAAAACTGCTTCTTCCTAGTAATGAATAGTACAAAAGTTGAAATACTTGAAATATATATATGTATGATGATGGCATCCCATCAACAATTATTTTAGGAAAATAAAGATTCTCTTCTGTCCTTCAACAACTTCTTCATGCCAAAAGGTACATTCAGGGAGTGGGAATCAGGAATTTTTTTCTGAATTTTTTTTATTTCTGAAAAATTGCCAGGGCTAATAACTAGAGATGGACATGAATTTTTTTAAAAAAACACCAATCACTTTGTTCAAAAATAGCTAATCCATCAATTTTATATGAATCAACATCCCTGATGAATACTAATCAATGAATGTTTATCAATTTTTGATTTGTAAATTCGTTTGGCTATAAAATGCCCACCACCACCTAGACACACAAAAATTGCAGAGAAGTTTCCTCTGACTCTCTTCTACAATTTTCCCACGATTTGTGTAGATTGGCTTTCAGATGTCCAAGTTGTACAGAAGCAAAATCCTACCCCATGTAATGAAGAGGAGTGAAGCAAAAGGAGTACTGATACATTTCAAGTAAGGCAAGCTAGAATTAGGAGCAATGCCAAAGAAGAAAAAGAGCTAAGGAACCAGTGTTCAAGAAGCTATTGGCTAGAGTCGTACTGGTGTTGGCATAACATTTCCATAACTTACAATGGCTATTTGTGGCTAGTGAATGAGGTCAGCTGTGAAAACAGGTCCATGAGCAGGCACATGATCAAGACCAGTGGTTCTTAACCTTTGTCACTCGGATGTTTTTGAACTGCAACTCCCAGAAACCCCAGCCAGCACAGTTGGTGGTGAAGGCTTCTGGGAGTTGCAGTCCAAAACTCCTGAGTAACCCAAAGTTAAGAACCAGTGATCAAGACAGCCACTTCATCAATTAGTCACAGACCCTGTTCAGTAGGAGCTCATGTACAAATAGTATTCACAACTATTGTGCACATAATAAGTGGTACAGAAGGGAAAGTGGGATTTCTTAAAAACACAGTAGCCTGACTCTTTGGGCAAGTGGGACATCTACCATACTCCTCCCAGCTAACAATAGTACAGTAGAGGCATAAGGTATATTAGTGAATCTACTCCTTCCCCAACCCTACTGAGTATCAGATGCCACTGTGAGAAAAATACCTCAAACTATTGTGACTTTGGTCCATCTACTTCCTACTGAAATTACTTATGTACCAAAGGCATTCCAGAATCACATCTAAACATTTACCCACAGTTTTACTTAACCTGTTAATGTACCATAATTAGCAACTGATATAGTGAAACGTGGTCTTTGTTCGTAGCTCTAGAGCAAAATACTTGCCAGAGTTTTTAATGAGAAAAAGAATAGTATTGATTTATTACGACCCGTCAATCCAATATTTTAGGAAGCAAGAAAAATGTCCTTTGTTCAATATCTAGCCTTCTTTTGTTCAAGTTAATATCTTGCCTTGGTATTTGGGAGCAGCATTTGGTCTGAAAGAAAATGTGACTAATGGGGCTGTCACCGGGATTAATAACTGAATTTATGTCACAAAATCTTAGTTCCCCTTTGTGCTCCCTTCCTTTTTTCCTGCATTATTTTCAGGCAAAGAAGAAGAAAAATCAAAATTAAATGTCAGGGCTTTTAAATATAATTTCAGAAAAAAGTAAACTCCATCCTGCAACAAGCTTTTGGTGGAATCCTTCAAAAGGGAAGAGCAAAAACGTTTGGGAGGATGAAGAAGGATTAGTGCAAAGGCTTAGTCCAGGGCTCTCCAGATATTGCTGGACTTGTTGTTGTTGTTGTTGTTGTTGTTGTTGTTGTTGTTGTTGTTGTTGTTGTTGTTATGTGCCATTAAGTCACCTTCGACTTATGGCAACCCTGTGAATGAGTGATTTCCAAAATGTTCTGCCCTCAACAGTTTCGCTGTTATAAACTCAAATCTATGGCTTCTTTTATTTCTTTGCACTGGCTGTTGGAATAGTTCTATTGGTCTCTTTGTGACAGTCACTGAAAAGTTGCATTCAGGCTTCTGGCGCTATTTCCGTCATCTTTTACTTTTACTTCTTCCATATCCTTTACAATTTTAAGTATTTCTTCCATCATCCATTTAAGTTTTAATTTTCTTTTTCTTACAGGAATTATATTGTTGCCTTCTTCCATAATCTCTGGTTTCAATCCACAGTTCTACTGGTTCATGGTCAATTGAGTTTAGTAATCCACATAAGGACTTTAAATCCATCAAGAATGCGGTTTAAATTATACTTTGACATTACAATTCTTTTAGTGTTCTTTTTCAGCTTCACTCTAATGTTAGATATTAACAGTTTATGATCAGAACCCCTATCTGCTTCTGGTCTTGTGTTGGCAGAGAGAATATAGCTTCCCCATCTCCTGCTTCCGTTTAGTTTATTTGATTTCTACGTATATTGACTGTCTGGTGATGTCCATGTGTACAGTTATCTCTTTGGTTTGTATTCGCAAAGGCTTTCATGGCCGGGATCTAATGGTGGTTGTGGGTTTTTCGAGCTCTTTGGCTGTGTTCTGAAGATTGTTCTTCCTGACGTTTCACCAGTCTCTGTGGCCGGCATCTTCAGAGGACTGGAGTAGGAACTCTGTCCATGCCAGTCCTCTGAAGATGCCGGCCATACAGACCGGCGAAATGTTAGGAAGAACAACCTTCAGAACACGGCCAAAGAGCCCGAAAAACCCACAACAACCATCTGTTTGGTTGCTTGGAACATATATTTGCAAGAAGCAGATTGCTGGCTTCGCAGAACTCTATGAGTTGCTCTCTTGCTTCATTTCTGATACCTAGACCAAATTTTCCTACAATTTTTGATTCTCCTTTGTTCCCTACTTTTGCATTTAAGTCACTTATGATGTCATGTTTTGATATGTGATCAGTTTCGTCTTGTATGATCAATTTCCTCTTAGATGCTTGCATAAAAAAAAT